CAGACCCTTGAGAATCCAGGAGCTTGAATAAGCCACAGGGAGCATCTCAAACCAGGGTGAAAAGGGTTGCTTATAAATGTGGTGAGGAAATTGGTAATCATGTGGCAAAACAATGAAAAAATTTTTATTTCTACCTTAAACTAGCCACAAAATAAATTCCAGCTGGATTAACTGAAGAGCAAAAAATCCCAGAACTTTTGAAAGGAAATATAGAAGATATAATTGTAACAAAGTAAAGATATTAAAACGGAAATTGTAAGAGGAAAAGACTGATACATTTGACTGTGCTTCAGACTGAAATTTTCTGAATGACAAAAGACATCCCCAAAATAAAAAAACAAGCCATGCAGTGAAACAGGAGAGCAGCAATGCTTCTAACTGACGCATGATTCGCGTGCAGGCTATATAAAGAACGTCCGCAAGTTAAAGAGAACAAGGTAATGGTTGGAAAAGAAAACAGGAAAAGTTCAAGAGCAAACACGCAAGTCACAGAAGAGGGCGCACAAGTAGGCAATAAATACACAGATAACACGTACGATAAAAACATGCTGAACATGACTACCAATCAGGATATGAAGATTAAACAAGCAAAATAAAATGAGATATAGTTTCACATTCATTAGATTGACTTAGAACTTCGAGGTCTGACAGTTCCAGGAGCTGGTGACATTGTGGGGAGATTCGTACTTGTATACACTGCTAGTGATTAAATTGGTACAAACACTTCGGAAGAATACTTTAGTCAGGTCTGGTAACGTTTTTTGTGGTTTTTTTTTTTTAAGATTTTATTTATTTGACACAGAGAGAGAGAGAGAGAGAGCTCAAAAGCAGGGTGGGGGCAGCAGAGGGAGAAGCAGACTCCCTGCTGAGCAAGGAGCCCGATGATCCCAGGACCCTGTGATCATGAACTGAGCGGAAGGCAGCTGCTTAACCAACTGAGCCACCCAGGCGCCTCAAGTCTGGTAATGTTAATGTGAATGCATATCCTAGGAAAACATTCTATGTGGGCATGAGAGACATAAACAAGGATGTTCATTGCGGTGTTGCTGATAACAAAAAGGTGGCTGTTCCATCCACAGAATGGCTAGATGAGCCATGATATAGTCTTAATGGAATATATACTGAAAGAGGTAAAGATCCCAAAGAAAGTCAGGAAATGGAGTCCTGCTTCTTGCTCTGCTTCTGACTGATGACAGGGAGTTTCACAAGTCACTTGTCCCTCTTTGTAGAATGCTCTCCCCAGATAGTCTCGTGGCTCACTCCCTCACCCCCTCCAGGTCCAGGTGCAAATTCCATCTGCTCCGAGAGACTTCCCTGACCCTAGGATCCATACAACCAGCATCTGCACTCCCTGTCACTGCTTTGTCAAGAAACAGAGTGGTCTAAAAGGTGAGGCCAGGGCTGCCTAGGTGGCTCAGTCAGTTAAGTGTCCAACTCTTGGTTTTGGCTCAGGTCACGATCTCAGGATCGTGAGATTGAGCCCCACATTGGGCTCTGTGTTCAGCACAGTCTCCTCCCCCCCCCAGCTCTCCCCCCTCCACTTGTGCACACCCTCTCTCTTTCTAGAATAAATAAATCTTTAAAAAAATTTTTAATAAAAATAAATAAATAAATAAGTAAATAAAAAGTGAGGCCAGACTGGGTTCTAATCCCAGATTTACAGCGTGCTTGTTTGTATCATTTTAGGCAAATTAGTTAAACCTTCTGTGACTCAGTTTCCTCCTCTGTAAATGGAGGCAATTGTAGTTTTCACCTCAGGGGGTTACTATGAGGACTGGTTGAGTTAATATGCTGAAGACTTAGAACAGTGCCTGATATAAGGAAGTGCTGGTTAACAGTAAATTACGTGGCAGTTAACCCAAATGAAGGAGGCTGGAATGACATGGATAAATCTCATAAACAGGCTGCTGAATGACAAGGGCAAGTCCCATGTGCATCCTCCTTGAACTCTCCTGATCACGGGCAGTGTGCGTGGTCCAGGCCTTAGTCACACCTACAGGGAGGTTTCCCCATGGGTTCTAGTGCCTCTCCCCTCAGCCTGTCCGAGTCCGTTTTTGACAGTATGGGTTGATCCGATTGAAATGAATGAATTCTGACAAGTCCTTGAATGCCAGAGGATGGAAACACCACTGACTGTCTCAGATGGTGTATTTTAAGAAGTCGCAATAAAGACATGAAGAGGTTGGGAGCAACGGAGCAGGTGAGTGACACAGATACCTGGATAGGGAGAGGATCCCAGAGGCAGGATGTCTCCAAGGGCAGGAGTTCTGTGATTCCCAGACAAGAGAGTGCGGGCTCTCACCCAGCTCCTTTCTGAAGGCTTGTTCTAGGGTCTATTGTGCGACTGAAGCATTAACTGCTACATTCAAAGAGGACTCTGGGCATTAAAAAAGATGTAGGGGGGCCAACAGACACATGAAAAGATGCTCCATGTCACTCATCATCAGGGAAATGCAAATCAAAACCACAAGAAGACAGCACCTCCCACCTGTCAGAATGACTGAAATCAAAAACACAAGAAACAGCAAGTGTTGGTGCGTGTGTGGGAAAAAGGGAACCCTCATGTGCTGTTGGTGGGAATGCAAACTGGTGCAGCCACTGTGGAAAACAGTATGGAGGTTCCTCAAAACGTTAAAAATAGAATTACCATATGATCCAGCAATTCCGCTATATATGCACCTCTATGTTTATTGCGGCATTATTTATAATAGCAGCCCAAGTGTCCATTGATAGATGAATGGATAATTACTCAGCCATAAAAAAGAATGAAATCTTGCCATTTGCAACGATGTGGATGGACCTTGACGGTATCATGTTAAGTGAAATAAGTCAGTCAGAGAAAGACAAATACCATGATTTCACTCCCAGGTGGACTTTAAGAAACAAAACAAATGAACAAGGAAAAAAAGAGACAAACCCCCAAACTGACTCTTAACCATAGAGAACAGGTGGTTGCCAGAGGGGAGATGGGTGGGGGATGGGTGAAACAGGTGAAGGGGATTAACAGCACACTTGTCAGGATAAGCACAGAGTAATGTATAGAATTGCTGAATCGCTATATTGTACACCTGAAATGGATACAACACTCTATGTTAACCATACTGCAATTAAAAAATGTTTTTAAGTGAAAAAAAAAAGATCTAGAAGGATCTAAGCACAGTGCTTAGAACTGGCTACAGGAGGGAGCGTGGGATTGGGGACAAAGCGGAGGCTTTGAAAAGAAAAACCCTGTATACTTTTGCATTGTTTGAATTTTTTACAGTGAGAAAGAATTTATAACTTGTGAAATACTCAAAGGAAAAAAATGATCTTGCCCATAAGTTACTCGGTGAATGGGCATCACTATTATTTTTTACAATGAAGACAGACTTCTCACCCAGCACAGAGGTCCCCAGGCAGGAAGGCAGCCCACTGGTACCCCTTCCTCCCGCACTGCTGCTGGCCCTTTGGCAAGTGTCACTGGCTCTCCCTCCAAAGTACATCCTGAACCCACCGGCTTCTCACTGCCCCTCAAGACCCCGCTACCTGTTGTGTTCATCCCTCGCTAGACACACACTAGTCTCCCGCTAGTCTCCTTGTGGCCACCCTTCCCTCTCTAACTCAGTCTGCCCAGCAGCTGAGGTTCCTTAAAAGCCCCAACCAGGTAGTTGGCACACACCAAGCATTGCCATTTGCCAGGCACTGTGATAAACCCGTCTAGCTCAGTTAATGCTTTAACAACACTGGGCATTAGGTCCAGGTGGAATCTCCGCTTCACAAGGGCAGAAACGGAGGCACAGAGCATTCAGTAATTTGCCCCAGGTCCACATGGTGAAATGGCAGAGCTGGGATCCAATCCACCCGGAGCACACGCTCTTCACCACCTCGCCACGTCACCCCCGTACAGCCTGCCGGTGCTCCTCAGCTCTCCCAGTGAAGCCAGAGCTGGGTGCTCTGGCTGCGAGGCATCGTGCATGCGCCATCTGACCCCCGCCTGCCTCTCCAGCCTTGGCCCCCACTCCCTGGCTCCCCGGCCGCTCATCCCCCTGGAACACTCTTTCTCCCATCTTCACATCACTCTGGTCTCTGTTTGAATGCCGCCTCCTCCAAAAAGGCTTCCCTGACCACTCCTTCTAAAATAGCCCCCACTTTATTCTCTGCTCCTTTCCTGCTACCATTTTATCCATAGATCTCATGGCGTCCTGAGGTGACATCATCAGTTTACCTGTCTGAATGTTTACTTTCTGTCTCATCTCTCTAGAATGTCTGCTTCACGGGGCGCACGGACTTTGTAAAGTAGCACAGTGAATGAATAAACGCACTCGAGGCAGCCTGTGAGGACGTCGGTCTAGCCCTGCAGTGTGGGACTACCGGGCTTGTGTCCGTTTCCCCTGCCCAGGAGGGCGCTTCTGCCCTCTGGCTCCGAGGTGGGGACCCCATCCTTCTTTCTGGGGCCCCGCACCAGCAGGAAAGAAGGTGAAGTGAGATCTCCCGGATTCCTTCCCGGTTTCTCCCCCTCCGGTTCATCCCCGTAGCTGCAAGGCTTCTACCTCTCCAGCCACCTGGAAGCTGAGCTGACAAACCTACCCCACCAAGGCAGTAAAGATGTGAAGTATTGCCCCACCCAGGGACAATAATATTAATACAGGCACTTTAAAAGAGGAATGACACTTCACCCCAGTGTCCGACTGTGTCATGGCATAACTTCGAAGACCAGGATGTTGGAGGAAAGCTACTGCCTTTCCCTCTCCGAGGCCCTGGTCCACAGAGCATCACAGAAGAGTGTTGAGGGAGAGGGAGAGATGGGTCCACACTCACCCAGGGGGTCAGAGGCTGGGACCCGGCTAACCCCAACCTCAAACGTCCCAGCTGCCTGCCGTCCCGCTCAAACCCTTCTCTTCATTTCCCACCACCCAGCAGGCCTGGCTCTGTTCCCCGAAGCGTCCCCAAGCGATCCTCGGGCTTCACTTTGAGGACTCTCCCCAGAGGCTCCCCCAGGGCACCCAGAACCAAGGCCTTACCCATTTCAATCCCGCAGATGACCAGAGCCGCGACCACTGCACCTGCTGACGTCCCAGCAAAGCGATGGGTGGTTTCCAGCATCCGGGGGGCCAAGTCTCGAAGGGCATCCACGGCCCCGGCCTGGTAGAAGGAGAGAAACCCACTGCCGGAGAAGGAGATGGAATGAGGAGTGTCTGGGTCCCCCTTGAACACCTGTTCTTCCATCTCCTCGGCCCCCCAGTGCTTGCCTCTCGGAAGCTGCTCTCCTGCTGGAGCTCAGGCCGAGCTGCCCTGCCGGCCCCGAGCTGAGAAATGGGCCGTCTCTCCCGTCGGCCGGGACACCCACGGGTGGTGCACGCAGCCACTGCCTGGGCCTGCTGAGCTCCTCCAGGAGGCAGTGCCAAAGGCTGGTAAAAGGCTTCAGGCCCAGGTCGAGGTGCAGGAGGCACCCTGAATGTGTGAGCAGCGTCTTGGGCCTGCGAGCATCCCCCTGGCTTCATTGCGTGGCTAGATTCATCTCTGGCACAGACTCCTCAGCCCTTGGCCGGTGCCTCGTATGCCTAGCAGCGTCAGCAGCTACCACCCGGACCATCCCAAAGAGGCAGGCACTGCTCAGCCAGCCCTCAGCCCAGGAGGCTTTACACTGAGTTGCAAAAGCTCCACTGATGGTTATCAGGTGCCTCTCTCTCTGACACGCTGTGGCGGCCAGGGAATTATATGCAGGCCTCCCTCCAAGAGGAAGGTGTCCCCTCCCCCACAGGGACCAGAGCCAGCAGGTTGGTTATGGCTTTTGAGGGGGACACACTCACACCACCCATGCCCCCGACGGCATCACCCCTCCCTGGGCTCTTTCCCCAGGCTCTGTGGGGCGTGTGGGGTGTGTTACACAATTGTTTTTATTTGTTCCTACGTAAGAACTTGGGTGTTTGCTCACATGTTAGGACTGGCCACGGGCAAAATTGCAAAGGAAGAGAAGTCAGGCTTCAGGGCCCCACCCACCACCGCCTCTCCATCTCTCCCCACCCTTTCTCCCCAGCCCTACCCTGACCCACTCACCTGTAGCACCCTCTCACCAAGCCCCAGACTTTCATGTTGTCTCCTAAGTACACGGGAAAAAAATCAGTCTGAAATCTAGATCATTCTAAGTGTTTGGAGCTTCACACTGCACGCTCTTCTAATGATAGATTTGAGATGGCAATATTTAACCCCAAGAATGAACTGCTTGGGAGGCCAGATATGGGGGCATCGGGGTCAGAGGTACGTTGGAGTCCAGAGGGCAAAGGAGGTGGTGCCTGGGGACCCAGGTTGGCTGCTGGTCATGCCCCCGCTGGAGCTGTGCACTGAGGCCCTGGGAAGGAGGCCCCTCCTCAGTCCACAAATTTCTCTGCCTCGGATGTCGCAAAGCTGGCAAGATCACACCTCTCCCCTCCCCCCAAGACCGTACAGTGGCAGGAGCAGAATTAGAATCGAGACACCAAGTCCCCCACTCAGTGCTCAGTCCAGCTCCACGCTCTGTTAGGACATGATGTCAATGCCTCCCCCGACGCAGGGAACTCCCATCCGCTCTTGGCCTCCCTGGTCTACCCTGGAATCCACAATGCGGGCGATGCCCAGGATTCAGTTAGGAGGGAGTTTTCTCTCTTGGGTGGATAGTTCCAGATACAGAATTGCCTCCTCCATCTGGGAAGGGACCTTTTGATTAAATGTGTGTGTAAGAGGGAAAACATGTGTGTCCGTGTGTGCGCACACGCAGAGAGTGGTATGAGGCTTCCCGCTTCTTTGGAATAAGACCAGCAAACGTGAAATAACCAGAGAACCACACGAGGCAGTCTGTAATTAAGGGCCAACTTGTGCAGGGCTGAGATTCCTGCCAGGAAAGTTAAGATACCAGGCTGAGTAGCGTGGGCTGGAAGCACCAGAGAAGCTAAATAGTGGGGCCGGGGCTTAGGGGATGTGAAGAAGCCAGAAGCTATAAAGATATGGCTGTAAAATGCCTGGCATGTGGTACATCTGTTATTATTAAAGGGTAGCAAGGGTCAAGGCTTCCGGAACAGATCGGTCTGGGAGATAAGGTGGAATGGAAAACGGGGTGGGAAGAGGAAGCTGTGATCCATTGGCGACACGCAAGAGGAGATGGCCGGGGGGCTCAGACCCAGCAAAGAGACCGGGACTGGAGGATGAGGGAGGAGAATAGCACTGTAGCCTTCTAGAGATGTTGGAGGCCAGGCCAGGAAGACGAGCTAATGAAGCCACGGCTGCAGAGACTCCCGTGACCAGGAGACCGGTGGGGTGAGAATGAGTCACTACAGAGGCCTCCGTTCCAGCCTGCGGGTCGGGAGGGGCAGGGCGGCCTTCGGCGGGCTTCGGGAAACTGCAGCCGCGCTGGGAAACTGGGTGGAGGATGAGTTAACTTTGAGACGTGTCTGAGAAGACGAGAAGACGTTGGAGCTGGAGACGGGGGGTGGGAAGGCTCCAGAGGGGGGGCAGAGAGCCCTGCCATTGAGGCAGCCGAGAAGGGTGAGCAGGCAGAGGAGGCTGGCGTGGAGCTAGGTTGAAGAAAGACAACCTTGGACAAGTCCTCTCCTTCTAGGTTCACCTCGCTAGCCCCAGTCAAATAGGAAGCAAGACCACCTTGCTCTACACAGGCTGCCGGAGCTCGAGAAGGCTGGGGCCCACCATCCTTTCAGGGAAGGTGCCTTGTCCGGACGCGGCCTCAGGCATCCCCCCTTCCCGGGCCTGGCTGTTGGATTAAGCTGCAGGCTCCGCGGAGCGCATCTGACGAGGGCCAGTGGGCCGCAGCCCTCGCCTGTCCTGGACCTCGGAGTTGAACAACTAAGAGGGTTCATCTCATTTCCCCTCGTTCCTGGCGTTATACTGAAAGCCCTAAGAGCTTCAAGGGGAGGCCATCAAGAAAGGATCTCATTCCAGCATCGCTGCATTTGATTTTTTTTAAGTCAGCTCATAATCCCGTCAGGGACTTTGAACTAAGTTAGCCCTGCCCATGTGACTCATCAGCTCCCAAGGCAGTCACGGGCAAGAAACGGAGACCGCTTACCACGCACGATCCCAACAAGACAACCCAAAACGAATTTACAGAGGAACCCAGAGTTCCCATACGTATAAAATATGTGAAGCTGCCCAGGACACAGCTGTCAGGGAGAAAGACAGCATCTGGATTCTGGGTTAGCTTTTCACTGAGGGAGCACCACCCTCTGCTCAAATCTTGTAAACTGTTTATTTAGTGAAGAAACTGGTTGTTTCTTGAGGTGAGTGAGTATGAAGGTCACGGCATCGCCCATGAATAGTCTTGCCAATAATGTTTAACCTGAATCTAATTAAAACTTACTTTCCAGTTCACAGTGAACGCAGAGTATGAAGGAAAAGTGAAGAGTGCCGGGTGGAAATAACCAGACAAAGTGAAACTGTGGGAAGGGCTGGTAGCTCCTGTGGTTGCTACACGGTAGCCATTCCCCATCCACCTGTTCTCTGCCCACACCCCTATAAAGCAGCTGAAAGACCTGACACTTGATTTTCCAGCCCCTCTTGCATCTAGGAGCAATCATAAGATCCAATTGTTGTCAGTGAGAAGCAAGGGGAAATCTGCTGGTAGCTTCTAAGGAATACTTTCCTCTTTGGTAAAAGGAGAAAGGCACATAGGGAGAGCCCCTTTGGCTCCATCCGCCATTCTTCCTGCCTGAGATGATGCCCTGTGAGAACTCGATGTTTGGAGCTGTGGCAGTCATCTTGTACCCACTGGGGAAACATGGCGGACACATGGAATGTATTAGTTACCTATTGCTGTGTCACAGATTGGCTATTGATAGAAAGCTCTGATGCCTCCCTACACCGACCCCTCCAAGGGGCTGCTCAGAAGAGGACAGGGTGCTTTCCCCAGAGCGAGATGCAAGAAAGTGAGAGAGAGGAAGAGGGAGAAAGAGAGAGAGAACAAGAAATAGCGTGAACCCAATATGGAAATTGTAGTCTTTTTATAACCTCATCTCAAAAGCGATACCATCCCTTCTGCCATATTCCACTGGCCACACAGGCCAACCTGGGTAAAATGTAGGATGGGTGTGAATACCAGAAGGTAGGAATTGTTAAGGGTCGATTTGGAGACTGGCTACCGCACCGAGGATGGCAAACGAATACTTGATCGACTCTCGGGGTATTCTCCATGTGGTGCAAGTGTTTACACCTTTTTCTAAAAAGTCAGCAATTTTTAAAAATGAGGCTTAGGGAGAGAGGAGGAAATCTGACACAGCGGAGGTGGGCACAGAGCTTGCTAGCATCCTGTCATGTTGTCCTTTATACGACCTTGAGAAAATTAATGCAGCCTAAATCATATCTTCTCATGATGAAATAGCTCCCACATACAGTAAAGTACCAAAATAGAACAGCAAACATCCAAGTACCTACCAGACATTTTGAACAACCTTAACATTTCACCACATCTCGGTCAAATATTTGTTTGGCCTTAAAGGAGCGAAACACCACAGATGCAGGTGAAACCTCCTTTGAACCGTTTCCTAATCTTACCTCACACTCTCCTTCCCATGGGAAACCAGGTTCCCAGTTTGGACAGAATCTGTCTCCTCCATGTTTTTACGCTTTTATTACAAGAATATGATTTATAAACAATGTGTAGTGTTGTTTTATACATATTTTTAAATTTCACGTAAGCAAACACATTGATTTATTCTGCGATTCCTTCAGTGTTGTGATACACAAGGCTCTCGTCTTTTCCATTTTGCTGCTTTTGGGTAACCCATTATGGGACCATGTGATAACATCATTCTACTGACGGACATTTTGGTTGTTTCCAACGTTTCACTATAACCAACAATGCCGCAGTGAGCACTCTTATATACATCTCCCTTTGCAGGGCATGGGAATTTTTCAGGTCACAGTGTGGGTGTATCAATTGCATCCACAAAATCTGAATGTTCGGAGGAGACTGAGTGATGATGGGAGAGGCTAATGCCATTGGAAGAAGATTTTGGGGTGCCTCGGTGGCTCAGTTGTTAAGCGTCTGCCTTCAGTTCAGGTCATGATCCCAGGGTCCTGGGATCGAGTCCCGCATCGGGCTCCCTGCTCAGTGGGGAGCCTGCTTCTCCACCGTCCCTCTATTGCTGTCTCTCTCTGTCAAATAAATAAATAAAATCTTTAACCAAAAAAAAAAAGAAAGAAAGAAAGAAAGAAAGATTTCTATTACAGCAGTTCCCCTATCTGCTGGGAACATGCTCCAAGACCCCCCAGCGGATCCCCGAAACCATGGATAGTACTGAGCCCTATATATATGATGTTTTTTCCTATACGTACATACCTATGATAAAGTCTAATTTATAAATTAGGCACAGTAAGTAAGAGATTAGCAACCATAATGAATAATAACCCAATTATAACAAAATTCTGTAATAAAAGTTGTGTGAATGTGGTCTCTCTCTCAAAATATCTTACTTTACTGTGCTCAACTTTCCTGTGCTGATGTGAGGTGACAAGATGCCCCCATGATGAGAGGACGGGAGGTGAACGACGCAGGCATGGGACACAGCATGGGGTTACTACCAACTTTCTGACATGACATCAGAAGGAGGATCATCAGCTTCCTGTCCGTGGCTGCCCACTGGTAACCGAAACCATGGAAAGCGAGCCGCTG